TACAACAATATGTCTGAATCACAGACAAGCGAGCGAGCTTTTTCAAAAAAAGAACATACTACAAGCCGCCGAATAAGATTTTTCTTACCATCTGTCAAGTGTAATATTCCTCTACAAGATGCAGGATTTTACAAGATAGATTGTGAATGTGGTCCCTCTTACGTAGGACAAACAAAAAGATCCATAAAAACTCGCGTGAATATATAACATATCGCTGATGCAAAACACTGATGCCCCGGGAAGTCTGCAGTATGTCAACATGTTCAGGATCGTCCCAATCATTATATCAGATTTGATATTGATTTATATTATCTTTTAACTATCCTATTTAAGTTTTATTTGCATGGTTTAAGTTTGCGTGGCGTTGCAAGATATAATTAAGATGACACTTAGCTTTAGTTTGATATTCTTGTTACTTTAAATTCCATGTTCGTCTTGTTGGTTGTCCTTTTAAATAAATAAAAAATAAAAAAAATAGGGTAAACCACAAATCCTCGCAAAAGAACACCGACACTAGCAAAAATGATTCGTGAATCTATTGGAATTAAAAAACATACTAATTTCAATAGAGAAGATGGCTGAGTGCTACCATACTGGGATTCCATAATCAATAAAAAGCCAAACCCAAAATACTACACTGCAAGAATTCAAATATACTGTAAGCTCGTTCTGCGTATATCGGACCAAAAATTAATATTTAAAATATGAAGGTAGTCTTCATTAACTGTGACATAGGGACGTCAAACACTTCAAAACCCCATTACCATGGGCGCAGAAATGTGCCCCAAACGACAGGAAAAAATAAAATTAAAATTATACACGATAAAATCCGTAAAATTAGGTTTTTCATGTTAGGTATTCGCAAAAATATAAGAAATCATTATAAAAAACATGATTATAAAAAGTACTATTTATAGAACCGTTATCGTGAGACCCTATTAAAATTACACTGCTGAACATTTGCCACTGTTGCAGGGTTAATTTTTATTTTTAATTGTCATTCGGATGACGCTGCGGCCAATCTCTTAGTTTGTTTTCCTCCATCGCCTCTTAGGACACCCACGACAGAGGGAAAATGAACTAATCGATGAGCAGCGGCATTTTCCCGACAACAATTAAAAAAATGCGGTTGTCAACCTGTTTTCCAAGCGGGACATCTATGGCAAGTGAACTTTTGATAGGCTATAATGGTAATGATATGATGCTACAAAATTTTATCAGTACTATTCCGTTAACTAACCCATACCAAACCCTATTGTCGATATTTTCGAATGAATAGCTCGAATTAATTCTCGCAAGAATCGATTGTGTTACACAGTGTGGTGAGCCGGGCATGAAACGACGATTTTGTTATGCAAATTCGTATTTGAACAGCGCGCAAACTGGCTTTGAGATTGTTAAGCTGAATTTCAACGAAGTAAGATCAAGAGTACACTATTAGCTAAAATTTAACTGCCATTATGTTTGTTTGTTTATTAAAGCTTTAATTTGCATAATGATTGCAAATTTATAACTACTTTAGCAAGTAGAGCTAAATCAACTTGTTGTTCCCAAGGTTATAATTTGAATGGGATAATTTTCTTTTAATAACATATTACGATAGAGTATAATAGAATAGAATCCCAAAAAAGTAATCTTAGAATATCAGCGTAAATTAGCAGCTCAATGCTGCTGTGTTTCGTATGGTGAGTGTAGAGAACCGGAGACCCTTTTACTGGAAACGAGGCATTTCTTCTTAGTCTTCATTGGTGACAATGTATCTGCATTTTCTGTCTTTGGGCCACAGCATCCACCTGCCATGAGGTGGACTGTGTGCTCGTTTGTCACCACCATTCTATTTTAAAAAAATGTGGTGTTTCTATTTGCAATGTGCATTGGTAGCAACCAGCTACAGGCTTGTGCTAATTTGGGCTAATTTTGTACGTTACTGGTTAACGTACCTACAAGATAGTAGTTCTTCTCTTCATGGTGGTAGTATGTCTCAGTAAGTGGTTTTATTAAATGGAACTGACAAACGTATTATCCATCTGATTGAAAGTGGCTACTGCAGTTCATGAACACGTGCAAACAATTTATAAAAAGAAGACTACAAATGCATTTTCATTATGCTGTTAAATTCTTCCTTCCTAATCGTTCGCATTCACTCATCCTTACGTTTCATTTTCGTTATATTCGTATATTAACAATCATATATGGTAAAACGATTGCTTAACTTCATATTAACATTAAATTATATTATAGATAAAACTCAGAAATTTGAATTTCCTACACATTATATTGCCAACTGACAAATGTGGCACCTATTTGATAGGCTGTAATAAATTCAACTCAATTTATCATCTACTACTACTACTATCTACTATCTACTACCAATAACAGCAGGATTGTTAACAATAACAGCAGGCTTGTTAACAATAACAGCAGGCTTGTTAACAATAACAGCAAGCTTGTTAACAAGGACCTAAAGTCATGACGGACTGATGCCTATGATATGTTTTATACTAAAAACCTCAGTTACGGGTCACGAGCCCTCCTCCCTCTCGCGGATATGTTAGATGAAAGTGAATGGTGGTGAAAGGTAGCATATTTGACAGTAAAGCTGTTTTTTTATAAATCAATAAAATAACACAATAAATAATATAATTGTTTTATACAAAACTGCATTAGTGTAGGATCTTCAACCTTATTTCCAAGACTAATCCTTAACCTTGCATCTTTGAAACGACTTTCGTTAATTGCTACGCCACGTATTTGGATTGACAATAAAAAAACCTTTCAAACAACTAGTACCATTGAAGCTCACCTACAAAATTAAAAAATGCGATGTAGTGGCGGCGTAAAAGAATTATCTTCTTCATATTTGGCAAGTTTATTTTATGAGAAAAGGGTGACAAATGAGTACACAGTCGATCTGGTGGTAAGTGGTTGCTGAAGCCAATAGATATCTAAATCTATTCTTGATTTTGAATCAAAATGTAGAAGAGACACCCGTGAGGACTTAGATGGAATGCCTCGTTTCCAGAAAAATGGGCCTCGGGTTTACTACACTTACCACACGAAACAAAACAGCGTTGAGCTGCTATATTACGCTGGTATTCTGTGAGAGCGTGATCCGTCCCTGATCGAGCCGACCTGTTCTTGCTACAACTATACTACTAATATAGCTACAGAATGGTTCTACAACGTTTAAAACTGGGTAAAAGTGTGTATAAGTGTAGAAATTATGTGAATCTCCATAGGTTCGCTCATAGAGGGGATCTCTATGAGGGAATCTATGGAGAGGCCTAATGGCAGTGGAATTTTGACGCGTTGTAATTATTTGAAGAATAAAAAAATGTTACAGAAGACAAATATTTAAGTTGTTTTCGTGTATACATAGATGGCATCAAAAGCGCATTTGATGCCATCCATGCATACGAGTAGCATCAAAAGCGTAAATGTATATTGAAAATTCCATTGTGAAATTATAACACCTATGTTGACATACTATTTGTATCCGATACCTAAATCCTCATTTCCCGCTAAGAGCGCAATCAATGTCCATTAATCCAAAGTCATCCATTTGGAAATAACGAAACGTGAATAATTTCACCGTTTAGATAAGATAGGTACTTGTTGAATTTACGTACCGGTTTCAGTCTCTTAAAAAATTGCTAAATGAATATCCTTTTAAAATTTACTTAAGGTTGTTAGTACGTTGATAGAAACTTGATTGAAATCTTTGTTACACATGTGGATTATAAACTGTTGACACTTAAAATTGTTCATTTCGTTTCGTATGGTGAGTGTAGAGAATCGTAGATCCTTTTAACTGGAAACGAGGCATTCTGCCTTAGTCCTAATGGGTGACAACGTATTTGCATTTTGATTCATAATCGAGAATAGATATAAACGTCTATGGGCCACAGCATACACTTACCATCAGATGGAGTGTGTGCTCGTTTGTCACCCTGTCCAATAAAAAAAAATGTTGTACAGGGATAAAATCGCAGTTAAAAGCTAGTATTATATTAAAATATAACTATGAAATAATATACATTTGATATACTTGATTTAAGAACAAAAGGACACAGGTATTAAGTGGCGAGCAGCTGATGTTGATGAAAGTAAAAAGCAACTGATATTTTGCACTTCATGAAATCCCGAACTAATATTACGAAAGCCGTAAAGCGCTTTATAGAATTACTCGTGAAGATAGAACTGTGCTACCTTTAGCTGGATTATTTTTTGTTGGGCCCCCCCCGGGGGGGGGCGTTTCCCTTTCTTTTTTTAGGCCCCCGTTGTATCGGCGGTTTGGTCGCTAAAGGGGCCCTCGAGTGTGGGTGGGTTTCGTTGTGCGTCTGCGGCTTCTCCGAGTAACACCCACGGCAGCGCTCGGTTCATTCGCCCGCTCTGCCGTGCGGTAGGAAGGGGTGGTGGGGCCCCCATACGTTTCCTGCGCATGGTTGTAATTCTGAATTAAATTTCAATTTTGCATCATTGGACGTCAAAACATACAAACACTATATGAATGCATAAATTTGGCACGCAAATAAACATAAACAAGACTGTTACTGGCACATAAACCGTTTAATTAATTTATAAGTGCACTTGAACGGTCAAAATGCCATTTTTTTCTTCTTGGATGTTTTTCGAAGACATTCATAAAGACAAAAAGGTGTAGAGACCTACGTAATGTAGAAAGTAGTTATGTGACCCAACACCATTACGGTACTTCCTTGCTCGCTTGCTTGGGAAGTGGCTGTGTAGATAAGGATAACTGCGTTGGCTCACAATTTTTGCCCAGGAAATAAATATTACAATTCATTTAGTCCGTTTAGTTGTACTCGGTTCTTTTCTATTCTATTATATGCTGCCAACAACCACAACCTGTAAATAATTTTCGAAAATTAAGAAAAATAACAATTAATTTAAATAAACTGTCAATATGTTGCAATTAGGCAATTTTATGCTTTAAACCTTCACTTTATTTCTAAAATAATTGATTACATGGTAATAAAATGCCTTGCAAAAAATCCGCTTCACGCACAAATAATCATTTATCGATCAACTTATTATTCATACGTAAGTGTGCAGTTTTGAACGCAATCCCTACGACTATGTATGTAACGTATGATAAATTATTTATGTATGTTGGTTTTTACGTGATACATTCATAAAAATATACGAAGAATATTATAAAATCTACTTGATATATTCAGCCTGTCTTTTTCCCACGACCGGCGTACCTCTTTTCACTTCTGAGAACAAAAACTGAAGAAAATATTTAGCCACGTCTCGCCAGTGCTTGTTGGCGGACTTTATTATGTCCTGGAATGTTTTATTTGTCAGGTCCGTCGCAGGTGGAATTGTTGATTGCAAAGAAAGGCACGCCTTATGTTCCGGTGGTTCAATTCAAGCCCGGAAGACATTATTACTCAATAAGCTGGGCAAAACATTCTTCATTACGTCTTGTGGATCGGCTCATTTTATTATTTTATTACAAGGTAATTATATCCAAATATAAATACAGTCACAATTTTTTTCTACCAGCAGGTTTATAAAATTTTGCCAAATATTAGTTGGATAAAATCATGAGCCCATCTCATCTCGCATGATTTGATAGAGTTGATATGATTGAAATGTCCAACAGTTGGTTATATAATCGTGTTGCTTAAATGTCTCTCATAAGCTAGAAGGATATGCCGCCTACAGTAAAAACCTGGCCCTTAGATAATAATTAGCATACGAACGCTCGCATGCTTCTTCCTCTCACCTGACCTGCCCCATTTCAATCCTATTAAATAAATATACTGCGTACAACGGCCGCATGTACGAAATGTTATATCTGTGAAAACACCTATGAACTCGCGTCAAATTATTAATTATTTGTGAGGTGCGCTTAACTGTTTGCTTGATTCCGGTGTCGATTGGTAATGTACTGTCGTTTTGCCAACAATATCCTTTTGCATTTTTAAATATTCTTTTTTCACTTTCATAACGAAAACTTGTCGTTTCAGAAATTTTCCCACGCAAATCGGTGAAGCAACAAGACGCTGAAGTATTTTTACACCATCCCAGAAAGTCTTTTCTAGCGGTCTAGGTAAATAATATCTGGTAAATTTTTTCTATCTACCAGTCTCATTTCAAAGCTATTCCATTTCGTTGCTTAAATGAAAAGAGTTTTACTAATCTCCACATTCGGTAGTTAAATTGTAAATCGAGGAACACCCCAAACAACTTGCATATTTGAAGGTTACCTCCGAGATTTAAATAATGCATATAGTTGCGGCGTAAAAGAATTCTTTACTTTATGTCATTTCATGGGTAACACAGAAATCTTAATAATAATGAAAACAGAACATTTGTATCGATGAGGCTGGTATGAAACAGTCAGTTTGCAACGTGTTTTATGCACGCTTACTAAAGTGCTTAACAGCCTTTTGTCCGGTGTGAATAAGTCACACGCATATAACGGTTGAGTCATGCCTGTCCTCATGTACACCTTTGGCATACTCAGGTGGACTCTGACTGAACTTAACGCCCTGGATAGAAAAGTCCGCACTACCATGACGTCCCATAGGATGCATCATCCGAGATCGTCGGTAATGAGGCTGTACTTGCCGCGAAAGCATGGTGGGCGTGGCTTTCTGAGCGCGCTCACCATGCATAATCGCAGCCTCCGTCATTACTTCCTGGCGAGATTGGATGATCCATTCTATATGGACGTCATTTCTAGTGATAAAGGGCTTACCCTTCTATCCTTAGCCAACGAGCAATGGCAGGACCCGGCAGTACAGAGTATTTCCGACCGGGAGACCGTATAGAAGGAGGAGCTCCATGGGAGGTACTACTCTACATGAGCCCTTCGTAGATTCAGTCGCCTCCCTCCACTGGCTAGATTTCGGTGACCTCTTCGGGGAAACCGAGGGTTTTGTCTGTGCAATACAGGATCAGGTTATTAAGACCAACAATTATCGGAGATACATCCTAAAGGATGGCACCGCCGACGTCTGTCGAGCTTGTCACCATCCCGGTAAATCACTTAGGCATGTCATCTCCGGTTGTTCGGCGCTTTCTAACTCTGAGTACTTGCACAGGCACAACCTAGTAGCCAGGATTCTACACCAGGAGCTCGCTCTGAAATACGGTCTCGTGGACCGGAAAGTGCCGTATTACAAGTACTTACCGGAAGCCGTGCTTGAAAATGACCGCGCCCGCCTCTACTGGGAGCGGACCATCATCACAGATTGTTGGATGCGGCATGCTGATGGACTGGGCACAGTCAAGGATATTTTTGGTCGACATTACCATTCCGTATGACGATAACCTAGTGAAAGCCGAATCAGATAAGAAAACAAAATATCTGGACCTGGCTCACGAGGTGACGGACATGTGGGGTGGTCTTCAACCGAAATTATCCCTGTAGTCGTCTCTGCGAATGGGCTAATCCCAGTTAGCCTGTCGGGTCATCTGAGGCGACTGGGATTTCGTGACGGACCGCTCCGGGCTCGAATGCAGAAGGCGATGCTCCTCGATACCGCCCGCATCGTCCGCCTGTTTCTTTCCCTTTCCTCCTAACCCTCGGCCGTTTGGTCTCCCCTGCCGAGGGCTTCCATATGGTTGGGCTTTTATTTATTTATGTATTTTTGTATTTATTTTACTTTATTGATATTTGTGTACATTTATCTTTTCATTTTCATTTATAATTATATATTTATAGAACCCAACCAGATGAGAAAACTATATAGATGCCCCAGATGACAATTTGTCTTATTATTACTATTACAGATTGTCTTATTATTACTATTTCTGTGATGGGTGACATAAGGGGCAACACAGAGTAAATGAACCAGAAGAAACGCAACATCTTCTTTTTGATATATAATCAATAATAATAATAATAATAAAAGACTTCGTTTGTCAACCCGCATGGCAAGTGTGGCAATCACGGAAAACATTTCCTCTATGAGGCAATCTATGGTGAGGCCTAATAGCATTGGTATTTTGACGCGCTATAATTATTGAAAGAATTAGAAAATGTTATAGAAATTAAATATTTAAGTTGTTTTCGTATAGCAGTCTTCATTTTCTCGTATAACATTAGCATTTTTGAAAATTGCATTAGGATGTTATAACACCCTTGTCGACATACTAATCGTATCCGATACCTAAATTCTCATTACCCGCTAAGAGCGAAATAGATATCCATTAGGCCAAATTCATCCATTTGCAAATAACGAATCGTGAATAATGGGCACGTGTTAAATTAACGCATCGGTTTCATTCTCTCATAAAAAATTGCTACAGAAATACCCTTTTACAATTAACTAAGGTTGTTATGCGCTAATATATTATATTTAATCGAAATTTTCTAAACTACTGACACTTAAAATATATCTAAGTATATTGTATAATCATCTATGTTTAAAAAGATTTAAAAGATATATCATATCATAAATATGTATATAAACAAGTAATATTTTAAGAGTAAGGACAAAATTGTAAGGGTGACAAGCGAGTTCACTTTCTACCTGACGGTAATTAAAAGCAGTGGGTCATGTACACCTACTATGCTTAACTAAAAAACTGATGAATTGTCACTCTTAGATGTGGACTAAGAAATAAATTGGTATTTTAATGCATTGCTGTCTGTAAAAGAGGGTCTCTGATTCTCGTCATCGCCAAACGAAATAGTAAAATTATCTGTTATTTTACTGAGGTATTTTAGGCACGCGGGATAGTTCCACAGTTGAGATGCTGTAGTCATAATCGCTGCAGCATTGTTCAGCTGCGTAGTTACGGTGTAGAATTAACAGAAGACTACGGTGTGATTGGAGTGTTAGGTTGCGAATGTAAATCCGAGCTAACCTTAGAGCAAAAGCGGGATTTGAAATTGTTTAAAGTCTTTTTATATCTGATACTGCATCTAGACATTAACCTAAATATATACTTTAAGCATTTTATACAATAAATAGTAAAATAATGGTTAACGTTTTTTCACACTGATGAAAATAGGATGGATATAGCTTGACTCAAAGTGAGACCTTCATGCCCGGGGGATTTTACAGCGAGAGGAGGTGGCCATATTTAATCCATCCATTATTAACAAGCCAGATTATGACTACTTACAAAGTTTATCTAGATATGTGTCATTCCTGATCCCAGGACCTTTTATTCACACAAATTTCAGATATATAATGTTTATATATTTAATGATTACCTTTTTTCTTAGAAAATAATTGAAATAGAAGTTATCAAGTTTATTATTTTATTCATTAATTCGATCCATGAGCAGTGGTTACATATGAACATTAACCAAAAACATAATGTATATATTTGTAAACTAACGGCTCCGTGGCGCAGTCGCTCAGCAATGAGTTACAGCACTGGGGGCCGTGGGTTCGAATCCCGCACGGAACAAGTATTTCTATGGCCTACAAATAATTTTTCGGAGTTTGGATGTTTGTCCTTCTGCAATTAACGAGTGCTTATCCCTTGAGCTAACACGGCTCTAAATATAAATTAATCAAACATTAATTAACTCGTTATTATAATTTTCTAATTCGCATAATATTTTTATCAAAACAAAAAATTTAAAAAAAAAATCACTGTAACGCTGTGTTCGGAAACACGCAACATTGTCACCTTCACTTTGAAGTGCTCAATCTACCTATCAATATTGAAACAACTGTATTCCAATCTTTTATGTTGATAGTGGTGCCGCAAAGCGATTATATATAATCTAAGGCTGGGCACATACATACGGAATTCCGTTTCGAGATTCCGTTTCGAAATCCCGAAATAGAACGAACGGGTCGGCCACACTCATACGGAATCCCGGATCGGAAAAAAACGGTAGATGTTTGATGGTTCATTGTTTTTATATGGACTCGGAATCCCGAAACGGAATCCTGAAACGGAATTCCGTATGTATGTGGCTGACCTAAAGGTTGATCAAAACTAATTCGGTTATTATTCATGTTAACAGCGCTGTAAAACATATAAATGCGAAACATAATTTGTTCTTATCCTTACTTCGCGGTTTCTGAGTTATTCAAACGTAACTATAGTGAAATACAAAATTGCAAAATTAACTTTTTGAAAGAAGAAAAATAAGAAGTTAAATATAAGGAGTGCATATCATTTAGGATCTGTGCGTCCATAGAAAGTCAATCCCGCAAGAAATATAGTCAATGATAGTGAACGAATATAGATAAAAAAGGTACACTATAAAGAGGTTACGAACGCATATAATATTATGTAATTCTCTTAAACACACTGGTAGCACATATCATCAGAAAGCTAGCTTGCAGTGAAAAAGCGGCGGTACAATACGTCGTGAGACGAAGACGAGAATAACAACGTGAATCACCTCATTACAGTCTGCACTTACGTACTCAAACGACGTTTTGCTATCCTTATCAGACAAGTCTCTACTGCTTTCGGGTAGCTATTCGAACGTTATATTCTACGCTTGTTCCGTTTTCGCTCTAACGTCTAGTCCGTCAAGTAGCACTAATTCGGATGACAATAATTATAATAAGATTGGAAAGAGTCTTAAACGTACGTTAGGCGATCTCCCATTGCAGCTTCTGTCATCCATCTCTGAAATCAAAGTTATGTCTGCGGAACTCAAAACGCAACAAGACCAGAAATTTGAATGACTGAATACTGCCCTCATGACCATCGTCACCCAAAATCGAGAAATCATCAAGATTTACCCATAAATACCTATGGTTAGACTACTTTTATATAAAGAAGTCTGGCATTATAGGATCGCTATGAAATTTTCTTTCGTCTGGTACAATAAAAAGTCAGTTACTCTATGGTTATTTATTTATAATCTACGTTCATTATGTTCGCCATTTTCGTGTGGATGTTATTGTGTTGATTTTTGGATTTTTTTTTTGTTTTATTATAAAATTGTTATGAAATTTTTGTGTAAATATAATTATCTTTTTACGTAAATAATTTCGAGTAATATGTAGAAATAATAGTGATTTTCACGCTACTGACACCCGCTTGGTATATACCCGTTTTTTGTTATCAAAATACAGTAAAGTCTTTTTGTAATGAAGTAAACCTACTAAAACAAGTAAT